TATATGCCCTGACTGGGGATCAAACCCGCCACCGTGGCATATCAGGATGACACTCTAACTAACTGAGCTACCCAGCCAGGGCTAGTCAATCTTTTTAGTTTCAGCTGTTCTAAGAGGCGTGTAATGGTATCTCATTGTGTTTTTAATTTGCATTTTGTGAATGACTAATAATGTGAAACATCTTTTCATATTTTTATTGTCCATCTCTATATTTTCTCTGGAGAAATGTCTATTTAAGTCCTTTGCTGATTTTTTAAATTGGGTTGTTTGTTTTGTTGTTGAGTTTTAGAAGTTCTTAATATATTCTGGATATTAATTCCTTATCAGATATGCCATTTGCAAATATTCTTTCCATTCTGGGAGTTCCTTTTTATCTATAACGTCCTGTGGTGCACATACGTTTTTAATTTTGATGAAGTCGAATTTGTCTTTTTTAAAATTTTTGTTGCTTGTGCCTTTGGTGTCATATCCAAGAAATCATTGCTAAATCCAATGTCATGAAATTTCCCCCGTGTTTTCATCTAATAGTTTTATAGCGTTAGCTCTTGCATTTGGTCTTTGATCTATTTTGAGGTAATTTTTGTATGTGGTGTTAGATAAGGGTCTAGCTTCATTCTTTTGCATGTGGATCTTCAGTTTTGCTGAAAAGACTGTCCTTCCCCACCCCCCACCCCCAATTAAATGGTGTTGGTATCCTTGTTGAAAATCATTTGACCATATATGTGATATTCCCACTTGATCATGATGTATGACCCTTTTAATGTGCTGTTGAATTCAGTTTGTTAGTCTCTGTTCTATTCCATTAGTTCTGTATGTCTGTCTTTATGCCAGTAGCACACTGTTTTGATTACCGTAGCTATGTAGTAAGTTTAGAAATCAGAAAGTGTGAGGGCCCCAACTTTGTTCTTCTTCAAGGTAGTTTAATTACAAATTTTAGGATGGAATTTTTTTCCTGAAAAAAAAAAAGGCCATTGGGATTTTGATAGGAATTGCATTGAACCTATAGATTGCTTTGGGTAGTATGAACATCTTAACAATATTAAGTCTTCCAAAATACGTTCATGGAATGTTTTTCTACTTATTTTTGTCATCTTTCATTTCTTTCAGCAATATTTTGTAGTCTTCAGTATGCAAGTCAAAACCTCCTTGGATAGGTTTATTCCGAAGTGTTTTATTCTTTTTTATAGTATAGTAAATTGTTTTCTTAACTTCCTTTACTGATTTTTTCATTATTAGTGTAGAGAAACAAACTGATTTTTGTGTGTTGTTTTGTATCCTGCAATTTTGCTCAATTTGTTTATTAGTTGTAACAGATTATTTTTAAATCTAAGTTTAGAGTTTTCTACATATAAGATCATGTTATCTGCAAACAGGTACTTTTACTTTTCCCTTTCCAATTTGAATGCCTTTTACTCTTCCTCCTGCTTAATTGCTCTGACTTGGACTTCCAATATTGTGTTAAATAGAGATGGCAAAAAACAGGCATTATTATCTTAGAGAAAAAGCTTTCAGTCATACACCATTGAGTATAATGTTAGCTGTGATATATATATATATATATATATATATATATATATATATATATATATATATATATATATATAATGTTGAGGTATTTCCTTCTAAATTTAGTTTGTTGAAGCAGGGGGTCCCGCGGGGGTGAGGCCGACGGAGCCCTAATGAAGCATGCCCGACTCCGAAGACCAGGTTCAGTGACGCAGATCTAAGTTTATTGTATAAGTGCAGCAGTATATATAACATTTTGGACCAATCAGAAGTTTACACTATCCTTAGGGCAGCCAATAGTAGGAAAGATCAGGGTACTATGTAGTGGCTCTAGGAGGCTTGCTCAGGTGGGCGCTGCCACTTCCCGGTGTGCCGAGGAAGCTTGTACAGGCGGAGTGTGCTCACGCCATTGCATCTGCCACTGCACTGAGATAAATCTCCTGAGCTCTTCCCACAGTTTGTTGAGTGTTTTTATCATGAAAAGGTGTTAAATTTTGCCAGATGATCTTTCTGCATCATTTAAGATGATCATGTGGATTTTTTCCTTCATTCTTTTAATGTGGTGTATCGCATTTATTGATTTGTGTATATTGAGCCTTCCTTTGCCTCCCAAGAATGATCCCACTTGATCATGATGCATGACCTTTCTAATGTGCTGTTGAATTCACTTTGCTAGTACTTTGTTGAGGACTTTTGCATCTGTGTTCGTCAGGGATATTGGCCTATAGTTTTCTTGTAGTGCCAGGTTCAGCTTTGGTATCAGAGTAATGCTGACTTCCTAAAATAGTTTGCAAGTGTTCCCTCCTCTTCAGTTTTTTGGAAGAATTGAAGAAGGATTGACAATTCTTTAAATGTTTGGTAGATTTTACCAATGAAAATATCTGGTTCTGGACTTTTCTTTGTTGGGAGGTTTTTTATTACAGTTTCCTTACTAGATTTTGTTTCTTAATGATTCAGTCTTAGTAGGTTGTGTGTTTCTAGGGTCTAATTTTCTTTTGATTTCTTCTTTGATCCATGAGTTATTCAGAAGTGTGTTACTTAGCTCCTAATACAGTATAAGGAAATTTTCCAGAGATCTTTCTGTTATTAATCTAATTTATTTTTGTTTTAGTCAGAGAACATTCTTTGTATGACTTGAATTCTTTTAAATTTATTGAGAATTGTCTTATTGCCAGAAAATGGTCTAAGTTGGTAAATGGTCCATGTGTACCTGAAAAGAACATGTATTACGCTTTTGTTGGGGATAGGGTGTTCTGTAAATGTCCATCTTATCAAGGTAGTTGTGTTAAGCCTTCTATCTCTTTTTTTATTTTTAATTGAGATATAATTGACATGATTGTATAGTTTTAGGTATACAACATGTTAGTTTGATACATTTATATATTTCAATATGACTATAGTAGCATTAGCTAACACTTACATCATGTCGCATAATTATTTTTGTGTGTGTTGAGAACAGTAAAAATCTCGTTTCCTAGCAACTTTGAAGTTTATAATACAATATTGTTGACTATAGTCACTATATTGTGCCTTAGATCTCCCAAACTCATTCATTTACTAGTTGCAGGTTTGTACCCTTAAGCAATACCTCCCCAATTTCCCCACCTCCCAGCCCCTGGTAACCATCATTCTATTCTGATTTTATGAGTTCAGCTTTTCCAGATTCAACATATAAGTGATATCATATATACTGAATGGCCAGATTATTATGACCACCTGACATTTGTAGGCAAATTAGCTATAATTTTGCGCTGAAGTTGCTAGAGGGCCAGACCATTATAAATAGGGAAGCAGGTTGTTTACCACGACAGTAGAAGTGATTTTTATATAGTATATATCCCACATTCAAAGGCTGTTAAATTGCGTTGTTTACCCATATCTTCAGATTTTTATATAGTATATATCCCACGTTCAAAGGCTGTTAAATTGCGTTGTTTACCCATATCTTCAGAAAAAAATCACTTCTACTGTCGTGGTAAACAACCTGCTTCCCTATTTATAATGGTCTGGCCCTCTAGCAACTTCAGCGTGAAATTATAGCTAATTTGCCTACAAACGTCAGGTGGTCATAATAATCTGGCCACTCAGTGTATATTTGTCCTTCTCTGGTGACTTACCTCACTTAGCATAATGCCCTCATGGTCCACCCATGTTGTCGCAAATAGTAGGATTTCTTTCTTTTTATGGCTGAATAATAATCCATTGTATATATGTATATCATATCTTCTTTATCCATTCATCCATTGATGAACACTTAGGTTGTTTGCATACTTGACTGAACATGGTGTGCTGATATCTCTTCAAGATACTGATTTCTATTCCTTTAGATATATAACCAGGTGTGGGATTGCTGAGTCATATAGTAGTTTGATTTTTAATTTTTTGGAGGAACCACCATATTGTTTTCATAATAGCTATACCTAAATTTACATTCCCACCAACATATCCCTTTCCCCAGCACATTCCCTTTTCTCCACATCCTCACCAACATTTGTTATCTCTTGTCTGTTTTATAAAAACTGTCCTAACAGGTGTGAAGTGATATCTTATTGTGGATTTAATTTGCATTTCTCTGATTGAGTGTCTTTTCATATAGCTGTTGGCCTTCTGTGTGTCTTTGGAAAATGTCTCTTTGGGTCCTTTGCCCATTTATTAATTGGGTTTATTTTTTCTGATTATCTGCCTACTTTTTTATCATTTATTGAGAGAGGGGTATGGACATCTCTGACTATAAAATCTACTTCTCCTTGCAGTCCTATCAGTTTTTGTATTATGTACTTCTGAGCTATTAGGCTCATAGTGTTTAGGATTGTTATGTCCTCCTGATGAATTGAGCCCTTTATTATTATGAAATTATCTTCTTTATCCCTGGTAATAACCTTTCCTCTGAAATTTAATGCTATTATGGTATATCTTTCCAGTCTTTTTGCTTTTAACCTATGTGTCTTTATATTTAAAGTATTTTCTTGCAGGTAGCTTGCAGTTGGGTCTCACTCATTATCTAATGTGACAATCTCTTTTAACCTTTCAAATATTTAAAGATTTTCTGTACCATTTGAAGATTTTCTCTTCCTTGGGCTAAGCATCTTTTTGTTATGGGTTGGCTGATACTTTATCTAAATCCTTCACTATTATTATCAAACTCTTGTGCATTTTGCTTAAAAGGGATATTATATCACAAAGGATACTTGGCTTTGGCCTCTGCAAAAAATGCTGACTATTGCATGTTATATCAGTTGATTAACATTATCAACAAAAATCTATATGTTTGGTTCCTCACCATTTAGTTAAAACCAATCTGGATCATCTGTTCCACTCTTCTTACCCCAATCATATTTCAAAGCGACTTAAAAAAAAATCACCTATTCCTTATTACTCTGAAAATGTCTGTTTTATCTCAGTTACACCAATTCTAGTTGAACTATTTTGAGTGTGGGTCAAATAAAACTAGACTATAACTAACAGGATATTACAATGTTTGCCTTTTTTTCCAGGTAAAAATGTCTCCATCCTGTCATCCATCTAAAGGGGATCCTGCTGTTAAGAAAGTGAGTTTTAAAGGCAAAACACAACTTCCTCCCTCTGTGTGTTTATTCTCCTCTGTTGAACAATTTAAATGACCATGATTTTTAATCATCTTAATACCGTCAAAGCTTCTTTCTGACGAGTTGCCTTAATGATGTATCACCAGGACTTCTTACCTCTTCCAGAGAAGCCAAGTGGAGGGTTAGGCCTAGCATCGGTCTCCTGGCAACTAGGGACCTACCATTTTTCTACAATTCTCGTCCTGGCGTAACCGAGTGGTAGCAGATGAAATGTATTCTAAGGAGGAAAGCTGTGTAGTTACTGGCCTGAGATATTAGTATTTCAGCACATACCACATAAAGTCTTCAGTAAGTACTGTGAGATAGAACTGTCAATGCCACTTCAATCCCTGGCTATAAACTTCGAGGCACAAATAGGCTGTGAGTCTTTCAATGGAGCAATCCCCAGGTGATGTCAAGAGAACCACTGAATTTCTTTTCTTTATCCAGCTGCCACAGTACAGCTCAAATGTGGTAATAGATCGACATTTTTGCTATGTTTTCTCTTACCGTTTCTGTTCCTCTGGTAGTTGAAGTGTCCCTGGATTGCCCTTTTTGACAATTTCAGCCAGCATACATGTCAGCGAAGGATTTTAGAACTAAATTAACAACTTGCTGGCTCTGGTGACTAACAGCAGGTTCTGGCTTCAAAGCACTGTGCCAAAAACAGGTCCCTTTTCTCTGCCTTCAGAATCTCCTGAGACATTTCAAAAGAGAAAAAAAGGATAAAAACAAAATGTTGTCTGAAAAGCTCTATAACAAGCTGCACGTGAAACTCTCTTTCACTCTCTAGTTGGGGCAGGCAAGAGTGAGGCCATGATTGTTGCTGCTTAGAACTATCACACGTAACGTGAGCTGGAAAGGGCTTGAGTAACTCAGTCTCACTGAGTAAACAAATGAAGAAATTGGAATCCAGAGGGAATTGTTTGCCTAAGCTCACAAATGTTAGCCATGGGACACACTTTAAAGTAGAGGTTAAAAACATGTGCTTTGGATTCAACCAGACTTGGGTTCAAAGATGGATTCTTCTACTTACTTATCTGAGTAATCTTGAATAAGTCAGACTCTTCCTTTCCTCCTTTGTAAAACGATGGTGCTATCTCTCAGAATTGTGAACACTAAGTGAGATGCTATTTAAGTGCCTAATACTATGCTTGACACATCGTAAGTACTCAGTAGATTATTGATACGCAGTAAGTACTCAGCTGTTGTTGAAACTAGTGTTAAAACTGGTCTCTAAGTTCCTCATCAGATACCCTTTCACTTTATTGTGCTACTTATATATTATGGTCATTCAGCAAGTATTTTTTTAAAAATATATTTTTATTGGTTTTTAGAGAGAGAGTAAGGGAGAGGGAGATAGAGATAGAAACATTAGTGAGAAAAGAACATCATGGATCGGCTGCCTCCTGCATGGCCCCCCACTGGGGATGGAGCCCACAACCCGGCACGTGCCCTGACTGGGAATCTAACCAGTGACCTCTTGGTTCCAGGGTCTATGCTTAACCACCGAGCCGGGCAGCAAGTATTACTTTAAACTAGACACTGAGCTCAGAAATGGACTTCAGAGATGAAAAGTACAATCCTTTTCTCAAGGACCTCAGTATTTAATGGGAGAGAAGTTGACGGGTAAACTGACATTTCCATACGAATTGACATGTGCTGTGGTGGATGCATAGGCACTGCAAGAGCGTGGAGGAGAGGCCCTGATTTGAAATGACTAAGCTAATTTAGTACCACACTTAGGTGCTTTATGCTGAAAGGCCAGTGAAGATGATTGAGAAATGGTTGGCTGCTCCCTTACAACCTTGTTACTAGTTTATAATGAAAGCAAATCCTACCACACTTATAGATGTTTATTAAATAAATATTCATTTAGCCGAACCGGTTTGGCTCAGTGGATAGAGCGTCGGCCTGCGGACTCAAGGGTCCCAGGTTCGATTCCGGTCAAGGGCATGTACCTTGGTTGCGGGCACATCCCCAGTGGGGGGCGTGCAGGAGGCAGCTGATCGATCTCTCTCATCGATGTTTCTAACTCTCTGTCCCTCTTCCTTCTTCTCTGTAAAAAAATCAATAAAATATATTTAAAAAATAAAAACAAAATATTATAAAAAAAAAAAATAAAATAAATATTCATTTAGAAATAGATTCATTCTGTTTCTTAAGCTTTCTAATGTCCTACCTGTCTGTCATTGTAGGTGTCTATCAGAGAGGTAGCAATATCATAAAAAATAGGATTCTGTTACTCTTGTAATCAGCATCAGACAAGGAGAAACTTCCTAAGCCATGACAGGTGGCCCCAGGAAGCATTCCTAAGTGATCAGTTATAGACTTATTCCTCTCCATGCAAGAGTTGGGACTATTTCTAAATTATTCTACCCAGTCTATATATCTGGAATATCTTTTATTTAAGCAATGAGGTCCATTTCTAACATTTACCATTCTGATTAACAAGCCATTAATTTTACCAGTAGGAAAGCTTCTCCTGTTTCTGAGCTAATAAGTAGTCTTAGGTGTTGGTCATTATATGAACAGCTGAAGGACTTTTAATAGCTGCCTTTGGGAGAGCATGGTAGCTAGCAATCTCTGAAATATCGACTCTTGGTTAGGGCCACTGATCACCCTGAGTTGAAGCCTAATATCACACTGTTCGTGGTGTCTAGAATACCTTTAAAATATACATTACAACATATGCCTCCCCCAGACTAAAAGATCAGGGAAGGTTTCCCAGAGGAGGTAAAGCTTGATCTAGCCCTAAAATCCAAGGGAAATGGTGCTCCAGGCAGACATGGGTGAGTACAGCACATTTCAGGAGATGGGGGTGCTTCTGTGTATCTTAAATGTAGGAGCAGGCAAAAGCCTGGTGCAATAAATGGGAGCCCAGATCACGAGCAGTCCCAGTCTATTACTTTTGCCTTTATCTTGAAGATAAGGGTTCCTGTCAAAGGTGAGATTGCAGGTAAAAAGACAAATTAGGACAGTAAAGACAGCCCTGGCCAGTGTGGCTCAGTTGGTTGAAGCATCATCTTGTGCACCAAAGGTTGCGGGTTTGATCCCTGGTCAGGGTGCGTGTGGGAGGCAATTGATCAATGTTTCTCTCTCAAATTGGGGTCTCTCTCTCTCTCTCTCTCTCTCTCTCTCTCTCTCTCTCTCTCTTCCTCTCTCTCCCCCTGAATGTGTGTGTATACAGTCTCCCTCCCTCCTTTCCTCTCTCTAGAATCAATAAAAAAAACTAGAAATAAAAGAATAAGGACAATTGTCCAAGCCAAAAAAAAAAAAAAAAGGCTCTAAACCTATGTAAATAGAACAAAGAGATGAGATAATAAATTCAAGTCTTAGTTCTATTTTTCCTCAGAATCCTTTCTGACACCAAAAGTCTGAGTTTGATGTCTTTCCTTTTTTGAGCTTATATAGCATCCTGAGCGAGCCCCTACCAACATACTTACCTTCCTTTTCACTTACACGTATCCCCCATTAGACTATGCTTCATTAGGGCAGGAACCGCATCAGACTTGCTTTCTGCTATATCCCTACGTGTAGAACAAAGTAGTCACTCAGTCGTTCAGTGAATGAGAAAGATATGAAAGGGATTCCACAGGACCTTGTGTTGTTTGTGGGAAGTGAGGGGGGAAAGAAGTTTCTGGCCTGATAGAGAATGAACAAATGAACCATCGTTGCTGGCCCAGGCCTGTATTCCCAGCGTGGTCAGTACCTTACTGTTTGAGCTATATCGTCAGCCGTACTCTGAGTGAGATTATGTGAAGCTCAGCCCCTAATCATCACTTCCTTAGTTGGGTTTGTATTTTTGTGTGTCCAAGTTTGTGTGTGCACATATATGTACATCTGCATATAAATTCAGGTTGTCATCCTGGAGCTCCAGTCGCTCTTCCCACAGTCACATTGACAGATGGAGGCACCAGTGTCTGTTGAACAGACTGACTGCCAAAGTGACATGTGTAAGAAACACAAAGGAGCAGTAGTGTTCTTGATTTGAGCCAAAAATTCTCTGTTGACCAAAAACTGAAAAAAGTGTTTGGTGACTCTGCTGTCACTCTTGGCCCAGCCAGGAGCTGAATCAGTGCTGAGGAGGCAGAGCCGCGTTTCTGTGGGGATCTCCTTAGCTCTTGGGGTGGGTGTCTCGGGTGGGAGTCGCCCTCTGCTTTGCTGTAATGTCAGTCTGGCAGATTGTGAGCATGGAGACAAAACATCTTTTTGCAGCACAAGCATTTTGCATTTTATATATTCTTTAAGCTTTGGATGGAAATATTTATCATATGTCATATAAAATTTGTGTATAATATTTCTTATGTATGTAAGATTTCTTCTTAATGGCCTCTAACTGCTAACTTCAATAAAGTTGGAAGATAAATGTTTCCTAGGACTTTTTTAGTGTTTGATCATGGATGGCCAGGAATTTAAAAATCAAGAAGCATTTCTCTGAGACAAAAATTGCCATAATAGTCCATTGCAATAAACTCCCTCGAGTAGTTGCAAACTGGAGGTAGACAATGTTTGAGGTGGATTAGAGGAATTTAGAGAGGTGGTTGAAGGTAGCATCAAAAACCACTCGGCTATGATCCATCTCTTTTCAACTCCTAAAGAGACACCGTCCAGGAGTTTGTGTAGCAAAGTTAGAATTGTTACATGCATAATAACCAGGAACAGCGGTTTCATCTTGTATCTATCACAGAAGCATGCTTGCACTCGGAGCCACCCCTGTTTTAGGAGAGCTTTCTTTGCCGGTGTGTTTGCAGAAGCCTGGGGACGGGGAGCTCTGGCTGAAAAGTATCCTCGGGCTGGGGGAACCCCCTTGAAGAGTCCACAGTTAATATTCTCAGTGTGTCTTCTGTCAGTTAGGGGACGAGGTCTTGGGAAGGGCAGGGTAGGAAGCGTTGTTAATAGTTCTGGGTAAATTCAGTCGTGTTCCACAGAGCCTTGAAGGTGCCAGGCCTTGGGAGGTCAGA